ATAGTGGCAGAAACAAGCCACATCGAATCGAGATGTGGGAGAGAGAGGGAAAAGAATTCAGTTTCTGCCCTGAGAACTAAAATGTAGCCAGCTTAACAAAGCCCTCCCCAAATTCTCAGTCTTTAAAATCATGAAAGAAATGTAAATTAGAAGCAATGCTTTACTGTCACTGTGGAAAGAAACACTTACTCACTCACTCACTCACTAAGCACGCAGCAACACAAACTGCCTGAGTCAAAACCAGGAGCAGAAGAGTGAAACAGCTGCAGGAAAATGCTCTCCGTATTGAATTAATACATAGTGACACATTTTTAATGAGTTGATGATTTTTGAAGAAAATCATGATTCGTTTTTTGATTCATTCCAATTTCCGTTAGTAATTCCACACTGAGCGTGCCAGTCTCGTCACCAAAATTATTTTGTAAAAGCGAAGGAAATGAAGAGAGATTTTGGGCCTGGATGAACTTCCTTGTGTGGAATGATGACAATATTTAAGTTGATCGATTTCTTTAAAAAAGAAATTAACATGGCAGAAGTGCATGAAATTAGGTATAGCATAAAACAGATGGGCAGGGTGAGATTTTTATTGTTCTCTCCCTCATACCTGAACTCAGAACTCATTCAATGATGCTGTAAGTTGGCAGACAAAGGATTATCAAAATCACTTACTGTGTTTTCTCCAGTCTCAGGATGGGCAAAAATAACAGAAGCAGGGATATTTCCATGGACAAGCCCGCTCCATCATAACCCTATGCTGTCTTCCCAGAACTCCTTATTCCCTGAGGCAGCAACAGAGGAAGTGATTGGAAGGAGGGCCATCCCATGGGCTCGCCTGAAACACGACTGTGGCATTCACCCTTGTGGCACCTGCGTGTTTTACCCTCACAAAGGCTCACGTCGCGTTTTCCTTTCGCTGCCACCAGTGGATTACTTCACCCCACATACAAATGACATATATCAGAACACTTCTTGTGAATACAAATAATTATTAAAGTGAAGCAGATATAATAATAACAGAAGCTCTTCAGATAAACACCATACACAAGCAAATCATTAACACTTCTCTCAGTACAGTGGTGCCTCGACTTACGAAATTAATCCGTATTGGAATGGTGGCCGTAACTCAAACTTTTCGTAAGTCAAAGCACCATTTCCCATAGGAATGCATTGAAAACTGATTAATCTGTTCCGCTGAAGAAAAAAAATCAAAACCAAAAAACAAACAAATCCAAAAAATAAACATTGGAGCAAGTCCCGCACTGGGACTGAAAAAAAAAACACCAAAAAACAAAACAACACAGAAACATAACCCCCCCACAGCCCAAACCTACCCTCCAAAACCCACCCAGAACAACTTTTCTAAAAAGAAAAAGCAGCACTTTACCAGTCTGAAGCCTCTGAAGCCTCCCTGGCTTCCCTGCTGCCTTTCTCCACTGCTGCGGGGCTTCTCCGCCACCGAAACCGCCATTGGCAGCAGCCCTCTGGGTGCCCATCTGGCCTTTCTCCCTTGCCGCCTGAAGGGCAGCTGCCGATGGCGGTTTCAGCGACGGAGAAGCCACATGGCGGCGGAGAAGCCGAGGAGGCCTCCAACGGCGGCAGGAAAGCTGGGGACGCGTCCAACGGCGGTGACGAAGCCAGGGAGGCCTCTGACGGCAGCGGTCATGGCGGCGGAAAAGCCTGGAAAGCCTCCAGCGGTGGCGGGGAAGCCAGTGAGGCCTCTGGCGGCAGCGGCGGCAGTGGCGGAGAACCCCAGGAGGCCTCTCATGGCGGCAGTTGCAGCGGCGCTGGAAGCCCAGGAGGCTGAGCCCAACTGGGATGATCCGGTGACTCGCCTCCCAGCGGTGGTGGCAGCAGCGGTGGAAGCCCGGGAAGCTGAGCCTCCCTTTTCCTAACCATTGGGGTGAAAGAGCTGCAAAGAAGCAGCCTCTTCGCCAATTGCTTGAATTTCCCGCCCTTTTCCCCTTCCCCTTTTTTGTCTGTATGGCAAAGTTCCGGCCGCAAGTTGATACAAAATTTTGTGGCCGGAGCTTTTTCTAAGTCGAATTTTTTGTAAGTCAGTACGTCTGTAAGTCGAGGCAGCACTATACATACTTTTCTCTTGTCATATCATTATCTACCTATTTTCTTAACCAGCCTTATCACTCTGTATCTGTTCCCTCTCTCTAACTAACCACTCCTAACTCTATATAGACCTCATCCCAATCTCTACCTCAGTTTCTCTCTCCTGCCAATCCCCATGCAGCTGCTGACTCTGCCTCTCCAGTCCTCTCATAGGCTCATGCAAATCAGCTCATGAATAAGAATAGCCTGAGAGACGTGGGCGATCATCACAACGACATCCTCATTTCTTCCCACTTCAGGAACTATTTCTAGTTCTGAGAAAAGAACAATGTGATTTGAGAGAACCAGTGGTGTGTTTGTGTCTTTCCTCCTCCCTTCTAATCACTTCTCCTTTGACGGACAGCTTGAAAGGGGACTACCCGACTCAGGATGCTCCAGTCCTGCTCCTGGTGCTCTTGCGTGTGACCCCTGAGTTTAAAAAGGCCTAAAAGGAAGACTAAAAGCCCTCATCGTATAGAGTAATAGACTAAGACAACGAACAGTGACAAGGAATGATGCTTCCCAATGGCATCTGTACGATCACAGGCAATGCACACTGGGATACAGGGTCGCTGCAGAAAAACAGCAGAAGAGAGCGAATTTCCTGACGTCTTGGATATGAGCTCCCCAAAGACATCTGCTTCGACTCTGAGGGAAACAGGATTCTGGACGACATGAGCCTCAATCTGAACAAGCCAAGAGCCTTATAATGATTTCAGACCCAGGAGACCAAGAGAACCTTCCCTGGAGGTCTCTCAAGGTCAAGGGGGCTGAACTCAAAGAGTCCAAGTCCATTATTCTACTACTGTACGGTTATCTTTTCCTACCGGATCTGGCTTTAGGGCGGTCTTTTCCACTCCATCAGGGGAAGGTCTCGAAGAAGGACGTGGGCTCCTTTCATCACCTGTGAGGGAAGCCAAGGAAATAAGGGAGATACTTTAGGACTGATAGCAATCATTACATGCTATGAAGTTGATCCTAACTTACAACTAGTCTTCCAGTGCTCTCTAAGCAGAAAATAGACACAGAAGTGATTTAATCGTCTCTTCTTCTGGCCACATCCTGGGACTCTGCAGCTTGCCCAAGGCTACATAGGTGGGTTCTCTGTCTTGCACACAAAGTGGGGAATCAAAATCCCAAACTCTGACTCTGCAGATACTAGCGCTTGGCAAATCTATCTCTGGATCAAAACACCAGTCACCAGAGATACTCATAAAATAAATAAATAATATAATGAGAGACAGAGGTTACAGAAAGGAAACAATCAGTTATGCACATATTAATCACACTAAAGTGAGAAGAAGGTTTTTCCATGCTTTTCCCAGAGAAACAGGGCTAGATCTAATGTAGAGATGAGAACTTTGCATGGTTGTCTCCTGAGAGAGATGAAGACGCCACAGGTGGCCAGTCCGACTGGAACCTCTCCCGCAAACCGGGCATCCACTTACCACTTATGGCACAGCGGTCATCCTTCATGCTGCGCCAGTCTCAGAAGTAGCTTCCCCGCTTCCCTGCGCTGTTGACCAATCGGCAGATGAGCAAGGACGCTTGTCATCCCACCTCCTCGCCAGATTTGTCAGCAGCCTAGGAAGGCGGAGAAGCCGCAGCCAGGCTATTTCTACAATTGGCGTGGCAAGAACAGTAACAGCTGCACATGCTAGGCAGCAACCAATAAGTGGATAATCCAGTTCGGGGGGAGGGAAGGACCAATTGGACGGGCCGCCTGTGATGGTGAGCTTCGCATTCGTCTCCCATCGGAGTCAAATGCAAACCTCCCCTCTCTAATCTAAACTAGCAAAGGTTAGAGGAAAAGCAACTGCTCTCAGAACAGAGCTTCCAGTAGCTCCTTTAAGGAGACCAGGAACTTCAGGCAGGTTGAACGCAAGTTTTAAAAAAGTGGCTAGGCTGAAGGGAGACCCCGCTGGTCTTTACCCAGGGCAGTGGCTCTTCTGTTACCCTTCAATGAGAAGTCCTTCTGTTCAGCTTCCTCTATCTCAGGAAATCCACCAGCTGCCTTGCCTGACATTCTTTTCATCTGAAAGAAGAATAGATTGAGAAAGAGCAGTTTGAGTAGCTAAAAATACGAATCGTCTACTGTTATGAGGCCAGGATCACACCTTTGGACGTCTCTGCAGCAGGCCCTCCCTCCCTCCTTCCACCAAATCCATCAGCACCTCACCCTGGCTGACATGATTTGGAAATTCTACCAGCGCAGCTGGTGGGGATATTTTTGGGGAGCCCCCCACACATTTACTGCCCCCTGGAATTATCGGTGTGAAAGGCAGTGAAACAGTCTCTCACCTGCTCTGCTTCCTGATTCTTCTCCTCCTCTGCCTGGCTCAGGAGGAAACCCTCAGCCAGGGCCACTGCCTGGGAAGTGGACTCTGCCCCACACTCTCGGACCCAGCTCTCCATCTCTGGGGGCAGGAGAGCCAAGAATTGCTCCAGGATGACCAGGTCCACGATCTGAGTCTTTGTATGCCTTTCAGGTTTGAGCCACTGATGACAAAGCATGTGGAGTCGGCTGCAAACATCCCGGGGCCCTTTGCCATCCTGGTAGGAAAACCTCCTGAAGCGCAGGCAAAGCACATCTGAACATACTGTGTCTCTGCTCAGATCATTTTGCATTGTTATCTCCCGGATGGCCCCGCTGCTCCCAGGCTGATTTGGAAGAACCCTGCTTCAACATGATTTGATTTGGAGGAAGACTTCAACGTGAGTGGATTCAGGCTCTTCCATTTTTTTAAATCTCAAGTTTTCCAGTCTCTTTTCTCCTGCCAGTTTGTTTCTTGATGGGAAATCAGCAGGAACGATTGTAACTGGTGAAGAACCACATCAATGACAGTTACAGGCTTCTTCCTATAACAAAGACAAGAATATTCAAGGTAGGAAGGGCACTAGCAGTAGTGCATATCTGTGTATTGAACCTAAGGATGTCCTCTTTAATATGATCTTCTTCCCTTCCATGGTTTTAATTCTCCTTCCTAGGACAGATCACTGCCAGAACCTCACTCTTCCTTTTTTGTTTTGCAGATGGAAATAGGTGGAAAGTTAGCAATTAGTGTAGAGGAGGGTAGGATCATCTTTCAGAGGGAGAGAGCTCAGCCTCAGAACCTTCCTCTCCATATCCAAGCGAATCTGGGGGTTTTTTTGCCTTTCAATTTTCAAGAAAACTCCAACAGTGACTCTTTTTGAAATATAGTAACAGGATAACTTCTGAGGTTTCCAGCCTTATTGTCCCCAGTAAATGTCTAGAGAACAAGATGAAGACATGGCTTAATAATCTTAGAACTGCATAACTGTTAGGTACCTTATGGACGATCGAGCCCAGCCCTTCTTAAGGAGACCCAGTAGGGAATCAAACTCCCATCCTTCGGACCTTCAGGCAAAGACCCAAATCCCTGAGCTATCCAGCACTTCAATATCCCTCCGCCCTCTTGCCTGATTTTCTCCCCGGA